ACACGATTTGGGTGTGATAATCATGTGATTATCACACAATTATCATAAGGATTCCGCTCGGCTAGGGTTAATTTAGAAAATCGACTATCGATTTGGTGTGATATGGGTGTGATAATCATGTGATATCACTATCTAACAGCACTCGATTTGATCATGGTTTCGATCGGTTAGGGTTAGACAATCACACATTTATCACAACGATTACTCATGGTTTCGATAGGTTAATATTTGACAATCACACATTTATCACAATGATTACGGGTGAAATCCACTAAACGATTTTGTGTGATATGAGTGTGATAATCATGTGATATCACTATTATAACATCACTTGWSCACTCAATTTGATCATGGTTTCGATCGGTTAGGGTTAGACAATCACACATTTATCACAACGATTACTCATGGTTTTGATAGGTTATGGTTACACTTGATTGMTCATGGTTTCGATAGGTTATGGTTACACAATCACACAATTATCACAAGGGAAGAGTAGATAGTGGAAACGAACGTGCAGGAAAAAAAATAATTTATGACTAATTAAAATAAAATAAAAATTATAAAAATTACTTAATTACATTACTGTCCTTATTAATTTATTTATATTTAATATAAGTTAGTTTATTAATTAAAAAAGTTTGAGGTTATTAATTATTCTCGCATTCTCGTAAATCACAAGGGTTCTCGTTTAAACCTCCTCCTATATATATATATATATATATATATATGTATATATATATATATATATATATATATATATATAGACTTGGGATCATGTGAGACCAATGGTTTTTCGTGAGTCCCGTAAGACCAATTCTCAACCCTTGGATTAGATTTACAATCGTCAAATCTGATAATTCATAAATGCCACAAGACTTTTCAATAATTACAAAATTGTCACCTTGCAACTTTAGATCATTAGATCTTTAGTTTATAAAGTTGATCAATGAACATAAATTGGTCTCACGGGTCTCACAAAAAACTCTTGGTCTCACGTGAACCCAACCCTCATTATTTTTCAATAAAATATTTTGTCATTTTCATATATATATATATATATATATATATATATTTTAAAGGTATAATATTTTATTGAAAAATAATATTTAGATGGTATTATGAAAATGACAAAATAATGAGTGTTTGTGAAACATAAATCACGCATATATGTGTTCAAAGTTGGTAGTTGGTACGACTATCTAACTAACCAAGTTTATATCTCCAAGTTGGCATTTACATTTAGTATCTCAATCTCTACTCTTTTGCTCATATTTATCTAATACATATGTTTAAGAAAATTAGGTTATGATGAACGAAATTCAAGTCTTACCCTTTTTATTTACAAAGACGTAATGCTGTTTTTCTTCACATCATCGTGAATAAAAATTTATGATTCTCGTTATCATTAAAAATTCTACTTACATTGAACTTTCACTACTAGAAAAATGACATCACTGCTAGAATTTACTGACGAAAAACTACCGACCGCCATATGATTTTTCCATTAAAAAAAGAAGAAAAGATAATATTTAAATATTCGTTAGTAATCTGTCGCTGATTCATGACGTATAAACGATGGACATGTGGTTTTCCCATTTTAAAAAAGGAAAAAAAATATATTTAAATATCCGCTAGTGATTTGCGACGGATCACTGACTTTCACGTGTTTTTCTCATTTAAGAAAAAGAAAAAAGAAAATATTTAAATATCCATTGGTAATCCGTTGTAAAATGGTCGTTGTCGATAGTCCGTCGATGATTCCTTTTCCCATCACTTTCCTACCGCTGTAATTTTATTGATGAATTACCAACAGATCTGGCTTTTTCGCGACGGATTTTCCCATCGATAATAATTCTCGTTTTGTAGTGTTTTTAATGTTTAGTTGTTCAGCGTTATGCTCTTTGTGTACAAAAACATGGCGCAGATTTCCTTCACATAATCACATTACCATGGACAAGAACGTAGTCTTTTCAATCTTTTATTTAAACGTAGGAGTGATTTTTTAACGTTTTGTTGTCTACAATATTAATTTTTTATTCAATTTTAATATTTAAAAAAAATAAAAACACGTTAACTTATAATATATTTAATTACTTTATATATATATATATATATATATATATATATATATATATATATATAAAATTAGGATTGTGTTTTGTTGAGAATGAAAGTTATAGTGTTCTATGTAAGAATCTTCACCCTTAAATTGATCCTAATTGAAAATCAACGCTAATGAGATGCACCAAGAACCGAATCAATTCCCGTATCAAGCAAATTCATTGGGTGGGGGTGAGATTACAAGTGATCAATGATCCAATTATCTTCTTACACTTCTCATTCTAACTCATATTCTCGCACGATCATTCATCTATAAAATTATAAGAAAACAATACCATTTTATATGTTGTTCACACACAACATTGTCACATGATAAAGTATAACCTTATAAAGTTAGTTTAACTAACAATAATACTTAAATCTTTGGATCTTTCTTAGAGGTCGTCAATTCAAGTCCTACAAGACCACTGAAGATTTTCTTGATTGTTTTTCAGGATTACGAGATTAGTCGAAATGCACATAAGTTGGTCCGAACACCTATAATTAATTTTTTTTTAAATTATTCACACACACACATATATATATATATATATATATATTTGTAGTGTATCTATTTTGTTTTAAATATGGAGTTAAACAATGACTTGGTACCTATATTTTGCCGCGTCTTATTTTTTTGGGTGGTAGGTTCTTTCAGACTTTGAACCGGGCTCCATTATTTGTAGCATTAAAAAAGAAAAAGGAGAAGATTCTACACGCACGAGGTGCCCGACCGGAATTCATTGACCCGATTTTTCATTAAACCGGAATTTAATGTTCATGTCATCAAACATGTTACATTTATAATTGTCAAATCAAATGAAAGATATCTAAACCAATAAGACATATGCATGTAAATATTCAGTATATGAATTTTATTATAAATAAAAAAAATGAGAATTTAATATAATTTTTTCACTGAAAAGAAATATATGAAATTTACTAAGTATTATGTTTACATATAATTGTCAACATTTCTATTGTATTTAAACGTGTTTATCAGTTAGTTTTTATCGAATTGAAATGTGGAATTTTGGAAATTAGGGGGCCGTTTACCAAACACTTGAGATTGTGTAAGAGTTCGCTTTCCTTAAGTGATATTTCGACCCTATCTACCTCTGTATCATGAAGTTCATTCGAGTATGATCTCATTTTTTAGTCTCGGTTTGGCAGAAATCATTCCCTTTTGAACCTAGAGAATCTTAACTGCTCCCATATTAATGTTGAGGATAACTTCATACCAAATGAAAATGATTTTGAAAAATTAATAGTGAGCAGTTACAAAATAGACCAGTTACAATTGATGAAAAACCATCAGCTAATAAGTTATCAGTGGGAAAACCATCAGTTGATGATCCATCAGTGGCAAAACTTGTTACCTAGATATATGCATCAACTGATAAAAAATTCAGAAGCAAAACCATCAGCTAATGACTTCGTCAGTCGCAAACCATCAACTAATGTACCTATCAACTAAAGTATCCATCAGCTGATGTAATACCAATCAGCTGATAACACACCGACGATAGCACACTAACGATAAATGCACAACCAGTGTTCTTTTCAAGTGAAAAAACGGATAGCCCATGCACAACCTTCTGTTTCCAAGCATGGCTCGTGCTCTTTTGATGACCAAAAACGCACGTCCCATGCACTGCCATATGCCATTTAGAAACACGATCAAGGGTGATCCTATGGTTTTCGATGCCCTGGGCGGAGAGTCAAAACTATGCCCCTAATCCCATAAACAAAAAAACACAAACTTTTAAGTGGTTTGGAACCTAGTCGCGCTAGGTGGCTCATCTCCTCGCCAATTTTTCTTGAGAAACAGAAAATTACAACTAGGGACATAAACCAAAACCCCATACAACATAACATACGGTAATATGCCCTACAAACTTTGTAATTCAGAAGGTTTGTGATCTAGGATTCGTTTGGGTAAGGGTGGTTTAAGTTTAGGAAGAGGTGTTTATTGTCAAGGCATTGATTCATTTCGGTTTAAGTTTAGCACACCATCTATTTGCATTCTTCTAAAAACAACAACAGGTATACAAGACTTGTTCATCTACGACTCACGTAAGTACATCTAGTTTTCTGGTATGGTATTGAGTTAATTAGTTTAGAATCTTCACGCATAGGGAGAACATCAAAATTCAAGAAATCAAGAAACAAGAACATCATGAAATCAGTGAACAATAAATTAGGTCTTATATAAGTAAATAAGATGGAAAACATCGGAAATGATGAGAAACCAAGACCACAATTAGATTGTGCACTGCTCTCAGTTAGGGCAGACGATGATAAATCACTCAAATCAGATTGGGTACTCGAGCAACTATGAGCAACATAAATGGTCAAGATTGAGAAAGGCCTCGTGACAAGAGACTAAATCAGTCAAGATTGAGAGGGAAGCGTGGCTGGCGTGCGTTAGCCTTTAGGGTAGAAGCGAGAAAAGAGTCATGTGATTGAAGTCTGGAAAAGAGAAGCAGAGAAATCCTAAAAAAATTGGAAAATTTCCGAAATTAAGCCTACTCATGTTGATATGCAGGTTGGGGTCCGAGCCCCTTGAGCTTCTTCGCTCTATACAAGGGCCGACCCTGAACTCGACTTATAAAACCATCCAACGACCCTAACTTTTAGTAAGCTTACACAAGTGTACACTCCAATTACCTGAAATGAACCAATAATTTCACCAAAATCACCCACATGACCTCTAATAATAAAAGAAGATACTTTATTAAAAGGTCAAAAGCAATCCCGTATGTAACACGGTTTGAATGTATGAGATGTGGTGGGAGCGTATTACCCGTACCCGTCCCCCTCCACGTCATCGTCTTCTTCCCCCCCTTCCCCTCGCACGTTATATTTCTTCCACCTTTTTCTACTTTTCTTTTAACACCTTCTCCTTCTTTCTCTCTCTAAATATTCCGACAAATATCTCATCTCTCAACAACATTTCCCCCTCAATTTGCATATCAAAACATCTCTGTTTGCTTCATTCAAGATGTTACGGATGTGTGTTAAGCCATTAGAGAGGTGTTTAGGACGACGGAGTGGTGATGTACTCTTGTGGCATAACGATTTGAAGCCGCATGCCTCCGGTGACTTCTCCATCGCCGTTGTTCAAGCCAATTCTAACCTTGAAGATCAAAGCCAGGTCTATACCTCGCCTTCCGCTACCTATGTTGGGGTTTACGACGGTCATGGTGGCCCTGAAGCTTCTCGTTTTGTCAATACCAATCTTTTTCCTTTCATTCATAGTAAGTTGTTCCTTTTTTTTAAATTAATGTTAAAACCCTAGGTGTTTATTCAATACTAGAATCTTACCAACTATTTTTGCTATTGATGTTTTGGAAATCTGAATGTTGCTTTGTGTATGTATGCACCTTTTTCGAATTTATATGGTTGAAAGTTGAAATTCAGTATCAGATGGTTGTGATTCATTATTTTATTGATCAATTCAAGTGGTTATACTATATGATGATCTTTTGTGGCTTCTACCTGTGATTATGTATTCATGTCTGGTCATTTTTATATTTTCTGGTAGAGTACGCAACAGAGCAAGGAGGTATATCCGCAGATGTTATTAAGAAGGCATTCAATGCCACTGAAGAGAAATTTTTTCAGTTCGTGAAACATCAAATGCCCATTAGACCGCAGATTGCTTCTGTTGGATCGTGCTGCCTTGTTGGTGCTATTTCTAATGATGAATTACATGTTGCTAACCTTGGTGACTCACGAGTAGTCCTTGGCCAGAAAGTTTCTGATGGAGGAAAGCCTAGAGTGGTTGCTGAGCGTTTGTCAAGAGATCATAATGTCTCATACGAGGAGGTGAGGAAGGAGGTTGAAGCACAACATCCTGGTGATTCACCTGTTGTGATGTATTGTCGTGGAGTTTGGAGAATTAAGGGTATAATTCAGGTATTACAAGTTACTTTGCTTAAGTTGTCATATTTCTGGTGTTAAATTGATGCACTAAACATAGATCATTCAAATGGTATGGGTGCTAGATGAACTTGTTTACTAATGATCTTCTCTATTTCAATACAAAACGTGGTACTCTTGTTCTAGGATCAAGTTCTAATATTATCAGATAGGCTGCATAAACTGTGGTTTGGTTGCTTTTCCGGTCCAATAGAGACACTAAGCTCCCAAACTTTAGACCAACAAAACGCCCTTGAAGTGGCATGGGAAGAGTTGAATTGTTTCTCTCTTAACTCAGCTGACTGTTATCTTCAAAATGAGATATGCTTCATGTAGGATTTGAATTATCCTCAAACTTAAGACTTCAATCAGAGCTCATTTTGTGGATATAATCAAAGCTAAATAGCCATTTCTTTTGTTCCTTCCCTGGAAGCATTTAGGATGCTTGCTGAAATGGTGCTGAAGATGCAAGCTATTGTTTAAGAAATTTGATTCTAGGCCTGAGTTTACCTTCTTTGTTTTGGATAAAGAATTTGTATCAGAAAGCTTTTTTCTTTCCTTCTACAGAAGTGCACTTGAGACGTTGCCATCTCGTGTTGCATAATTAGTAATTAGGTGCACTAGTTTTCGAAGTACACACCTGTTATGAGAAATAGTCTTCCTTTCACCATTAAGTTTTGAATAAGAGATGCGAAAACATTATCAGTGATCTTCATTTGTCCAATTAATATATTACAGGCAAAACCATCATAGAATTGAAAGATTTTACATCTCTAGAACAAATAAGCTGTAATGAATCATCTTAATACTAACAGGGAGATGACTTTCTATTCCTTGTTACGCCATTTAGATTCAATTCACCTCTGATCTTCACCTCCTCTTAGATCTTATTTCGCCCAATTTGCTTTCTGAAAAGATAATTATTCTGTACAGCCTGGATTTGAGTTATTTGCAAATGCTTTTTTTAAGTCTAGTATCTTGTTCTCTATTATTTTTGTCTCTTCCCTTTTACTTTTTCGAAAAGCATCATGGCACCTTGTGGCGTAAATCCTCTAAAGGGGATTATGCCTTGCCCACTTTTCCAGGAATCACATGTTCTACTTTGGGCCATCATCTCGTGCAGTTGAAGTTAATGTAGCAAGTATTCTATGCATGAGTCATGCATGAAGATCTTGGTCCTCAGACGTTTCATGGTTCCGTAGATGATACGTTTTTTCTACCTTATCCTCATGTTTATGGATACAGGCATATGGCTTATGTTACTTTTAAGATAAAGACTTGCATAAAATTTCCAATCTGAAACAAATGGAATATATACCCACCAGCTGCTTCATTTCTTTCATACTTTTTATTCCTTACATTTTAGTTAAGGTGTAGTAATATGTGGAATGCCTTTTCCTTTTTCAGGTGTCAAGATCTATAGGTGATTTCTATTTGAAGAAACCTGAATTTCACAGGGACCCACGTTTTCTGCAATACGGAAATCACGTTCCTTTGAAAAAACCTGTATTGACAGCAGAGCCTTCCATCATTTCTAGGAAACTTAGGTCCCAAGACTTGTTTTTGATATTCGCTTCAGATGGGCTTTGGGAACATTTGAGCGATGAAGCAGCAGTGGATATCGTATACAAAAATCCAAGAGCGGTTAGTCAGCTAGCCTTTTTTAACTCGTTACAAACCCACATTTCATTTGGTCTGCTGCCAATTAGCCATAGATTGATTGACCATATTATTATAAATTGTTGTTTGAAAATTAAGTTGATATATGTTGATCAGGGAATAGCAAAAAGATTGGTAGGAGCAGCGATACGTGAGGCTACAAAGAAGAGGGAGTTGAGATACAAGGATATCATGAAGATCGAAAGGGGTATCAGGCGTCATTTCCACGATGACATATCTGTGATAGTCATCTATCTTGATCGTCGTACATCAAAACACAGCAACCTTGGCTTCACAACTGCCCCTATTGATATATTCTCCCATAATGAAGACAAAGTTGTGGAAGATCCCCTTTTGTTGAAGTAAGCATATATATATATATATATATACATATATATAATGAAGCAAGATAGGTACCCAACAATGTAAATATGTTTTCTTTACAATTAATGGGTATCTGGATCTTCAATTTTCAAGTTCTAACCACATATATATTTCTTTGTTTTTTGGTCAATGACTTGGGGGTTTGTAAGCATGTCTGTCTGCATTCCTTTTGTATATCAAAGTTGAAGACTTAATGAGATGAGGTGTTCCTTTTTTTGAGTATAAACTCCATTTTATAATAATAATAATAATAATAATAATAATAATAATAATAATAATAATAATAATAATAATAATAATAATAATAATAATAATAATACAAGTTGGTTATCATAATTCATATGCATGTGAGCCTTTGTGATTTTGATTGATACGAATATTATGGATGTTATTTAATATTAAATCACATGTCTGATTCAAAGGGAAAAGATTTGTTTGTGAAAATAATGAAGATATGTATGGTTTGGTAAAGGACTCCTCTCATGGAGAAACTGAAAGACAAGACTCTTGATATCTCATATGCACAAATGTGGAGTTGGTTTCATGGAATCTCTACTTTATTCGTGAAATCCATTAAATTATTCTTTAAAACAGCTTTTCGAAAGGGAAAGAAGGTTCGATAATAATTGTTCAAGTCTAGTTAATGTGAAATTACAACATGCACCTTTTAATGGAGGCTTAGAGGGGTAGATATTGTCCCAGAGTAGGTGGTTAGATGTCAAAGAGCGTCGAGTCTCTATAGTGATAGACCTTGATTCCAATAGCATGTGAGGATATGTTTGTCTTAAGTATTTATTGGCATGGGTGTGTTGGAGTCTTACATCGGATAAACTGAGGAGCCGTTTATTAAATGCTTACACGATAAGCAGTTACTGGATGAACATGGCGATGACCGATAAGCTTACCATGAGCGAAAACAAGAAACGAGAGTCTTACTCGGTAAGTGAAGGTGACAACTCTTACCAGATAAATTGTTGTATTTTCCAGGACCAGAATCTTACCCGCTAAGATAAGTGAGAGTGTTGACTCTTAGGGGCTGTTTACCCAAATGCTTACTGGGTAAGTGCTTACCTATAGGAGTCAACACTATAAAGGGGGGTGGCTAATGGCACCCCTATCATGTGCTAATGCCACCCCTAAGTAGCCTTTAATCATTT